GGGGCAGGGAAAGGGGCACAGAGGAGGGGCGTCTTGAGCTGACTCTCGACCACTCAGAGCAGCTTGCTCACTGAGGGGGAGAGGAAGGGTGGCACGGGGGGTGGAAGGAACAGAAGTGCACAGTCCAGAGCCGAGGAAGAACTTGGCGTGTTCTAGAAACTACTAGTGGTTGGGGTGGCAGCAGACAAAGGGTGGATTGACAGGCGGGTGAGGCCCAAATAGGAAAATTGGTTAAGATGGTGGCTTCCAGGCCAGGCTGTTCATCAAACTACATAGGGGGGCACTTTTAAAGTTTTCATCTTCTTGGGCCTCTCCCATGGAAATTCTGGTTTGGGTGTGGGTGAAGGAATCTGTATGTCCACAGGAACCTGGTGCTCAGCCTGGTTGAGGAAGCGCTCAGCAGGATATGGGTCTGGGAAGGGGCAGCTGACCGATGGCCGTGACAGTGGGGGTGGATGGGGCAGAAGATGAGACCTGTTTAGGATGCAGGCTTTTCAGCACCCAGCGACCGTTGCATTTTGGGGGGTGGCGGGAGGGAGGGGCAGCCCAGCATTGTCCCAGGTTCCTGTCTTATGGGGCAAGAGGACTGAGGAGGAGAAGCAGGTTTGGGGAGGCAGAGTGACCACTTGAGCTTGGGATTTGTGTCTGAGGACATCTAGGGACTGACATCTGGGAGGCAATAGGAAATACAGTCCAGACCCACTGAGAGATCTGGGCTGGAGGACTCCGTGGTACACAGGAGCCAGGGCCGTTGTGGAAACCGTGGGAGTGGGTAAAACTCTCCGGAAACAGCCTAAACAGCCTGTCATGGTAAGAGGCCGGGAAAGACATTGGGAGACACAGGAGGAGGCCAGAGAACCCAGGGAGGGCCCTGAGGAATTGGGAAGAGGGGGCACAGAGTCCCCACTCTGGCCTGGCTGACCCACAATGTGGCGAGGCCCTTCCAGTCCAGAAGGTGGCTAGGAAGGACGCTCGTGTCATCCATATTCCGTGTAAGTTCTTCAAGCCATTTCTGTGGCTGATGCCAGTAGACCCCCTCAAATAGGCGGCAACCTGAGAACATGCTCCTCCCTCTCACCTGAGCCTGCGGGAGGAGCCGATTGGACACGGACCTGAGAACATGTCACTTCCTAAGGGTCAGTGCTCCTGAAGCCTTTGCTTCCTTCCCAAGCAGCCCACGGCTTAAGGACACCCTGATTTCCCCCCTTAGGGACTCCCAGGAGAGGTGTGGGAGGCAAGCCTGCCCCCAGAGGGTGGTCTGAGTTGGGAGGCTCCTGCCCCATGAGAAGTAACCACACTGGGGAGGTGACATGAGAGCTAGTCACATTGTTTGCACAGAGTGTGTTTGTTTGCCTAAATGCTGCAAAGTTAGCTATTCCTTGGGTTTGAAGCGTTGCCTTGTGGGTAGAGGAATGTGAGGAAGAAGGGAGGGACCGGATGAGTATAACTTATGTGGAACTGGGTAAACTTTCCTATGTTTACTTACCAGGCTGGGTTTCAGCTGCGGGGCCCTAAATGACTGGCAGCATTGCTGGTAGAGGCACCAAGCCCAGTGGGGTGTGGGTGGCCTGGGGACTCAGGGACCAAGGAGGCCATTCCAGGAGAGAAGCAGACATTTGGTTCCATATGTCCTAATACTGTGTACCATTTAATACCACTTTTAGCTGGAACTAACGAATGAAAAAAATCCTAAATGAGTGCTGGGAGAGCCTGTACACCCTCAAGCAGATGGTTGTAGTGGAGAGCTCAGGATTATTTCCAGGGCCAGACTAATTTAATTAACAAGTAGTTCAAGTAGGAGTGAGTCCCAGGCCCTGGCTCCACCGGAGTCCTGGCCTTTGAGACTCACTGTGTAGTATTTGGTGGGTTATTGACCTCTCTGGGCTTGAGTTTGCAGATCAGTAAAACAAAAGGGCTGGATTGGCTTAGGGACTTGAACATTACTTCTCAGACCCCAGGCTTCTGTGGAAGTGTCTGACGGACCTCAGCTGTAGCCCCTAGCTGGGCTCCCACCAGAACACCTCCACTTTTACCTGTGTCACAAGTGAGCTGCCGCTGTTTCATTTGAATTAGCTCTCTGCAGCTGTGAAAAGAACTTTGACAAATAACTCGGAGTAGACAATCAAGAAGGACCCTTTCAGCTCTAAAATCCTATAGTGGCCAATGCTTGGTAAATTGGGATATTCTGTTGATGATTTTGGCTTTATGAGGTTAGCAATAGATATTTTCAAGAGCAGACCTAAGGTACAAAACGGCAGTCTGTGGCAACAAGGGTGTGTGGAGTGTGGGTGTGTGTGTCTGAGAGGTGTGTGTCTGTGTGTTTTTGTATGAGGCTTCTGTCCACCTGTTTGCAGGGGTGTGTGTATCTAAGTGTGTGTCATTGCCTGCGAGTCATTCTTCCATTCTCTCCCTCTCTTTCTCAAATCCTACCCGTCCCATGCTACATTTTAGCAAGCTTCTGCTGTTAGCTAACTGTCAAGAACTAAAGCAATCCAAGCAACTTAGGGAGTGATGATTGATATTCAACCAATGATACATATGTAGTGAGGTAATTTATATTAACTATAGATTAATAGATATGCTCCTCAATCAACTTTGTCCTAGTCTAGAACTGAAACCCTGAAATATGTTTTACACTTATTTTTTACTTCCTCCAACATCTTTTTATGAAAATTTTGTATGTACAGTAAAGTTGAAAGAATTTTACAGTGAATGCCTGTCTCACCATGTAGATTCTAGTGTGAACATTTTACCATATTTGTTGTATCACATCTATCAATCTTTCTAGCCTTCTATCCTCAACCCAGCTTACATTGTGAAGCATTTTAGAGTAAACTACATATATCAATACATGTCCTCCTAAATATTTCAGTATGTTATTCTTAAGAGTTCCATATTTGTTTAGTTTTTTGGTGTAAAATTTCCAGACAATGAAATGCATAAATCTTAAGTCTACATTCTCTGAGGTTTGAAAAATGCACAACACCCGTGTAGTCCAAAACCCAACACGATGTAGAATGTTGCCGTCACCCTCCAGCCCTACCTACCACCGCCAGAGGCAACTACTATTCTGGCTGATCCCCAGCATACATTAGTCTTACCTGTTCTAGCACCTCATTTAAAGGGACTCACACAAAATGTATCATTTGTGTAAAGCTTCCTTGACTAAGCCTAATGCTTTAGAGATTCACTCTGGTTCTTGCTTGTATCAGTAGCTGACCCTTTTTATTGAGGAATACTACTCCATTGTGTGAGTATACCACAGCTGTATTTCTTTCTTTTTTAAAAATTTATTCTGCTGTTAATGCATATCTAGCCTGTTTCCAGTTTGGGGCCATTATGAAAACTGTGGTGCTCACCTCAGCCCTGCTCCTGGGGAACTTAGAGGCCTGGGGCCAGTTTTCTCTGAGAAGTGAGGGTTAGACGCTGACGGCCTCTCAGGCTTCATCCGGGTCTGGGATCCTGGGCTAAGGACCTTTGGATATAACAGCTTTCCTAGGTGCCGCTTTAGGTCTTCACGTGAGTGCTTCCCAATTCCTGTTCCTGTTGGCCTGGTTATGTCTCAGGGTATCCTGTAGGAGTTCCCTGTTGATAGAAACCACTGATACATGAGCAGTGGTTGGCTGGGTTAGTAGGAAGACCATGTTGACTCAGAGAAGCTGTCTTTCCTTTTTGGTAACCCAACACTGTGCCAGACATATATACAATAGATGTGTAGCAAGTGTTTATTGAATGAATGAATGAATGAATGAATGGGCAGGCAGACAAATGAATTATAGGAGACTTAGATATGGGGTCTCGGTGGAAGAGCAAACGTAGTCAGTGCATGATGCAGACAGCAAACCCGGAGGAGAGACAGGAACGAATCGAGGGGCCCTATGATGACAGCTGCAGTATAAGCATCTCGCAGTCTCCTTGTCTTTATCTTGAGCAGCATTCAGGTGCCACCAGTAAATTCTGAAGTGAGATGGCCCCCTCCCTAGTGTGTGAATTATTAGACATGCATATTAGTCTACCGTGACAATATGCCACAGACAGGGTGCTTAAACAGACATTTAGTTTCTCACAGGCCGGTGTCTGGTGAGGACTTCTCCCCCTGGGTGCAGATGTCTGCCTTCTCATGTGTATTCACATGGCCTTTCTTCAGTGCACAAGGTGGAGAGTGTGCGTGTGAGCTCTCTGGTGTCTCTTCTTCTAAGGACACTAATCCTATCAGAGCAGGGCCTTACGACCTCGTTTAACCTTAACTGCCTCTTATAGACCCTATCTCCCAATAGAGCCACACTGGAGATGAGGGCTTCAACATACGAGTTTCAGAGGGGACACTATTTGGTACGTAGCAGCATAGTTCTACCTAAAGACTTGCCCATCAGCGTGGAGCCAAGTGTACCAATTGCTTGTTGGGAACTCAGCTTGGCAGCTACATCTGTACTTCCACATTTTCCACAGTGGGAATCCTTGGTTGCTGGCCAGTGTGATAAGACTGTAATAATGCTGTTAGAACAGTACTTCCATAGTGTTTTGCAAAGTGCTTTCAAGTACACAGTGTAATTTAATCTCCCAGCAAACCTATGCAGTAGGTATTGTTGAACCCGTTTTATGGATGAGAAAAATGAGGCACAAGAAGTTAATTAAGTGTCTGACACAGAGCCCCATTAGTCCATCGGTGGTAAACCAAATTCTCTGTGCCAACTCTTGTAGATAGCACTCAGATCTTACTTTTAAAGGCACTCGTGGATTTCTTTGTCATTCCCAGCCTTTCAGTTTTCAAGGTGTATTCAGAAGGCTTTGGGAATTCTGTTACCCATAAAATGAAGCTGCTGGGCCTGGTACATTGTAGATACACTAAAGATCACCTCACAAGCAAAAATTAGGTAAATGTCGTCCTAATGTAGGAACTGGCCTAGTGGACAGGAAGAAATCTCCCTGATTCTAATTGTCTGATAATCTGTTTTGTTTTTAAAGTGCTAAAATTAAGCCTGTCTTATTGTGTTGGTCAGTATAACAGGGTTTGGATTCCGGATCCTGAAGAAGTTTGGAAATCTGCCGAAATAGCAAAGGACTACAGAGTCAGTGACAAAGTCCTGCAGCTCCTCCTGGAGGATGGAACGGTGAGGGTCCTTGCTGGCCATAGCTATCATGGTGTATGACAGGGTACCTGGAGAATGTGGGATGGGGCCAGATGGTCCCTGTGGGGGCTGCAGGGGAAGGTACATGAGCGGGCACCCAAAATGGCCAGTTGGTGCTACAAATCCATTCGTGTGTTTATACCACTGCCCCTTCTCTCACCACCCACCCCAACCCCATGCTCCCTAATGAAGGCGAAAAGTGTCCTCCCTCAGCTGGGCCTCTCTCTGTAACGAGATGCAGTAGACAGGTCTGTGCCCCGTGCTGCATTTCCGGGGATTCAGCAGTGTTGGGAGAATGCTGAAAGGTAATCAGCCATTTTGGTTTCATGGCATCAGCGCAGAGACTGGGCAAAGACAAGAAACTTGGAGGGAAGCCGCTTGAGCCCAAGGCTAAAATGACAGAGAAAACCATCAGGATGGGAAGAGAAAGAGACATTGAGCAGGGAGATAGAAAATGGGAAGGGAGAGGGAGGTGTGCGAGATAGACAGAGGGAGAGCGAGTCAGGCTATGGATGGAGAGAAATGTGTAAGAATTGGGGCCTCCAGGATGGAGTGTGACAGGGCGATTAGGAAAGTGATGGACGACAGGACAAGAGGACACGAATGCCCACCCTTGTGTGACGTTATGAGGGACCTGTCAGTGCTGGTGTGGAAAGGGAGAGACAAGGGATGAGCAGAAAGGTCAGCAGTTGTTCCCGCGGTGGCGTGTGCTGCAAGGAGATCCCCTTAAAGGCTCGGTGTGTCTTAATTACCCCCTGCTGCAGATTTTGCCTTTTCTTTAAGTTCCCATCATGAGCTTTCCTTCCCCTGCATAACACGAATGACATCCCACTGGATCCGTACCTAGGGTGGCCTTACCTTCTCAGAATCAAGTATCTGGATGCAGAGCTGGACAGAGGATTCATCATCCATCTCAGTGCCAGAGTCGGTCTGGGGAATATCATATGAATGTTAAAATGCCGGGATTTCCAAGGCATGCAAAACGGCCTCTGTAGAGACACGACACAACATTTCCAATCAGACCATCCTGAATTTGGGAGTCATTTCCTGGGATACTGGGAAGGGAGACAAGCATAGAGATTAAGGGCACATCCTCTAGAATCAGATTATCTGGATTCAAATCCTGCCACATCCACTTGCTAAGCCTGTGACAGTGACCTGTCAGTTTCGCCGTAGGTAAAACGGGGTTAATAACAGCACAGCATCACTGGGAGGGCTGCTGAAGATCCGGTGAGGTGACCCAGGTATGTGTGTGCAAACGCAGGAGAGATGTAGTGAGAGGATGCTGGCGCCCACCCAGCCTGTCCTTTCCCATCTGTAACTCCTTGCAGCATTTGTCAGTACCTCCTGGGCACAGTCAAGGTTCTGATTAGGGATCAGATGGCTTTGGGAGAAAAATCTCAAGCCAGCAGCTGCAGTGGTGGTTTGTGCTTTAAGTAATATCAGCAGGGCATCAGGTGACAACATTCCTGGCCCTGAACCAGCTCCCCGAGGAGGAGGAGAGAGGCAGGTAACATGGCAGGCGGCCAGGCTGCTCTGTAACTTAACCCGTTGTCTATACCACAAATGACAGAGCCTGCTTTGTGTAGGAAAATGGCACCTCTGCCTCTGACTGTCAGTCTGATGTCCTTCACATTTCCTCTCCCTCCCCCAGACTGTCGGCTCTGTTTGTCTTTCTCTCTCCCTCTATGTTTCTTTCACACATAATTATAAATCACACACACACACACACACACACACACACACACACACACACACACACACAATGGTTGAACAGGAAAAGGAGGCTGTTCTTTTAAAACAGATAACAGAAAAACTCAGGGAATGGAAAAATTATGTGTACACAGCATTTTTCTTGATTTTTATTCTCAAAATAAAAGTGTGTGAATGAAGAATATTCTGCTTGGAGCAGGCCCACAAATACTATTGTAAGCAGGCAGCTGCTACAAGGATTCAGGTCCAGTTGTCCTGGATTGCCCTGAGCTGCTCTCCTTCTCCAAAACAGACCAAGCAGTCAACAAACCAACAACCAAACCCCTGTCAGCATTGATAGGCGGCATTGCGATGTAGACTTCAGAGCCGGTCAGACCCATATTAACTGTGTGACCTTGGACGAGGAGTTCAACCTTTCTGAACCTGTCTCCTTAACTATTAATTAGATTACTCGTGTCCTGCTTGGTTCTTTGAGGATTAAATGAAACAACCAGTGCTGAGCACTAGCATAGGGTCTGCACAGTGGGCACTTGCTAAGGGGCAGCTGAATCACCGTGTGGAGCTGGCCCAGGACCAGGTATCAAAGAAAGGCTGCCTGGGAAGGTAGGAAGGAACCAAGCTTGCCAGGTGACCTGCTCAAGTCAATGCCCCAAGCTATGAAATGCAAGTGAAGGAAGTTAGAACAGGTGGTCCTCGTAAGGTCCCCTGATCCTCTGACATTTGGAAGGCCCAGTCGTCTGTGGTATCGCCACAAGGCATGCTAACCTGGCCTTCATTCTGCTCAGGCAGCTACTTTAGGAATACTGTGTAAAATCTGGCAGAAGAGAGGCCAGCCTGGGCAAGTTCCTCAGCCCGGGGCGGAGGATGATAGGAGCAGGCAGCCCTGCAGGGGAGCCATGGCCCTTGGGAACATGGGCAGCTGCAGACAGGAGTCACTGCACTGGTAGCCTCGCTCAGAGAGACCACCAACATAGACTCCTTCAGGCTCAGAGAGACCACCAACATAGACTCCTTCAGGCACTTCTCATCACTAAACGTGTCAACTTTCATCAGAGATTCAGCAACCTTAGAGCTGCAAGGGACCTTAGGTCATCATGTCATTTTAGTAGCAGCAGCCTGCTTTCATACCAAAACTTCCATTGCACCCAACATCTAAACCATGTACAAATGGAGCCCCTGTAGTAGGATCGGGGAGGGGACACCCAGGTCTGTGCCCACATGGCTTCCCTGTCACCCCTCGAGGACCCCTAATCTGGTCTAGCCAGTCTTTTCACAGATGAGAGTCGAGAAGCCCAGAGGGGGTGAATGACTTGTCCTAGGACACACAGCCAATTTCCTGGTCCCCGGGTTTCCATGTTTAAGTCAGCCACGAAGATTATTTTCTCATTGCTATACATAAGTTTGCTTTTCAGAGTGTCAGGGATCACTCCAAAGGGGTGTGGCTAGGACAGAAGATGGTGTTCAGCAGAAACACCAAAAATCTTTTACCTCCAGAACTTTAATTTTGTCTTTGTCCACAGGAGCTGGATTTCTCTGTTGATCCAGAATCTCTGCCTCCGCTCCGGAACCCTGACATCCTCGTGGGTGAGAATGACCTCACGGCCCTCAGCTATCTCCACGAGCCCGCAGTGCTCCACAATCTCAGGATCCGCTTTGCAGAGTCCAAACTCATTTACACCTACAGTGGTAAGGAGAGTGATTCCAGGAGAGCAGGAAGGGCACTGACCATGCTTATTGTCTAGAGCGTCCTGATTACTTTTTGTGTTACATTTAGGTTATAAATGTTGACATCTGTCAGAATATGTAATCACACAGAAACATGTGCCCCATTACTGTCTAAAAGGTATAGACATTTGATCTTAGAGTTCATATATATATATATATATATATATATATATATATATATATATATATATATATATATATATATATATATAAAAGGAAGTATCTAGGTGGGGGGAATTTTCAACAAGAACTAAGATTGGACTACCAAGAAAAATGTACGCATATGTGGATCAAGCTTGTGTTTGAGTTTCTCAGTGGATTTGATAACTTTATTATTTATTTTGGACAATGATATTATCATGATACTTACGTTGAGAATTGCAAAGGCGTCTCAGTTTTAGGGCAATCCCAGTTGTCATCTCATCTAACCCTCAGACTAGCCCGGAAATGTAGGTGGCATTGGCAGGGAAACTGAGATTCAAAGATTATTTGACCTGCCCAAAGTCATACAGAAGGTTTAATAAGCGGCAGAGTTGGTGTTTCTCAAGAGAACTTGGAGAAGTGGGTGACAGTAAGCATCCCATCACTGCATCTAACATCTTTCCTCAGGGATCATTTTGGTGGCCATGAATCCTTACAAGCAGTTGCCGATATATGGAGATGCCATCATCCATGCCTACAGCGGGCAGAACATGGGCGATATGGACCCACACATATTTGCCGTGGCAGAAGAGGCATACAAGCAGATGGCCAGGTAGCCTCCTGCCAGGCGGGGCTTCCTCTTGCTCTTGCAGTGCTCCTGCATTTGCTGGGTCTTCACCGTGGAGGGGAAACATCTATCTATCTGGTTTGATGTCATTGAAAGTGACCATCAGCCCAGAGGGGGCGCTTGGTAGAGCAAACTACCTGTACCAAGTAGCAAGTGACTGTTATATGTAACTGACCTGTCTAAACCGAGTTTTCTGGGTTTGTTCCTTTTGGGTAGTCAAAACTCAGTCCTATTAATCTAGGAATTACCACATGCTACTCTTACAGTATGTTAGGTTGAAGGAATACTGATATATTCTCCACTGTGAAAAGCTTAAGCTTTTTTACCCATCCAAAGCAGCAGAGTCTAATGGTGTAATAGATTTCAGCTGTGAGAGAGTTGGGGTTTTTATCCTAGTTTTGCCACTTACTATTTGTGTGGCCTTGTGGAGTTGTTTTGCTAGCAAATATTTGTTAAAAGCCTCCTGTAGACCAGCTACCACGTGCACATTCCTGTACATCTCAGGTGCCCTCAGAATAGCCCATGATGAAGATGCCTGGGCAGTAAACTAGGATTCAAGAGCCATCTGCCCAAGGCCGCCCAGCAAGTAAAAGGCAGATCTGGGATTTGCGCTCGGATGTTTTGACTCCACATATAATTTATTTTTCCCATAACTGTCCTCTTTTGACTTCAATCCTTCATCTGTAAAGTATGAAGAATAAAAATACCGTCTTTGTAGATCCTTTTACAGTTTGCAAAATATCTTTCACAGACAGTGGTCTCCTTTGGGTCTTGCAACACCCTGGTGAGGCTGAATGAGCCGTCATCACTGCCCTCATGTCACAGATGGAAACCTGAAGTGAGGGACCTGGACCTCCTCATTACATGCCACATAACCCAGGGCACAGCATCTGACCTCCCTTAGCGTCAGTGTCCTCATCTTCGAGCTAGATGCTCAGAGAACACCCATTCCAAGCGCCACTGCTTATAAGCAGGGGAAAATAATGTGGCTTCAACAAAGTAGAAGTGTGTGGTTCTCCTGCAGAGAAGCCTGATGGGCAGTCCGAAGCTAGCGTGGCACCTCTACCAAGTCACCAGCGACCAGGTGCCTTCCAGTTCCCCGGCCCCTGGGGCAAGACCCTCATCCTCAGGGCCAAGCTGGTACTTAGCCATCTCCTCCATATTCTAGACAACAGAGTATTCCAGGGGAAGGTCGTGCCCCTCCTGGTTGAGGAGACTACCCAGAAGCTCCGCAGAGCACTT